AGCAGGTGGGATAGCATTCTCATTATATGACTTATTATCTTTATGATGTGGTAATAAAGGTGAAAATTGGTAAAAGCTGTCCTAGAACTAGCTCTCCAAATTTTCAGTATTTTCATTATGCTTTACAATCGAAATTATTCCGGATGAATTCTGGCCGGGATCTTATTTCTTGTGGTTTTTGCTTTAGTGTGTTTTGTTTTCTAATTTGGCTGTGTTATAAATTGTGGCTATAAAGGATTTTAATCTATGAAATGTTTTGATTTATTTGATTTTCTAAGCTCCAAGTGCTTTGTATTTTGCTAGATATTTAAACCATTTGTAAGTAATTAAATAGATAGAGACTTTATTACAACTGAACCTTTAGGCTTCATTCATTAATTTGTTCAGTAAGTAATAAGTTACTGAGGACTTGCTGGTGCCTCACCTTGTTCTGGGTGCTAAAATACAGCAGTAGTCAAATGAGATAGAAGTGTGAGAATAAAGCACAGTGTCATGGTAAAAGTGTTTGATCTGTGGATAACAGTTGCTATTTTCCTGAAATATGGAAACTAAGATAAAAATAAGAGCAACAATTTACTTACTGTTCTCTGCCCTACATTTCATTCAGGTTCCCATTTCATTTTCACAGAAACCCTATGAGATAGCTATCACTATTATTCCCAAGATAAGGAAACTGAAGCTGAGAGGGAATGACTGATTCAGATTTAAATCTAGTATGACTTATCGTTCACACACTTATTCTCCTTTCTCAGATTCAGAGCTTAAATAAAAAGAAAAAAATATTATTTTCTTGTGTTCAAAGCACTGCACTTTGGGAATGGTAGGGAACACAACATCTATTAAGAAACAATTTCCATTTTTCACAAAGAATGTAGAAAGAAGGACCGTCAAGATCTACTCATTCAAAAGAGTATCTAGCAAGTTCCCCCTCTGAATTGGGCTCTATGGAAAGGCCTATACTCTGTCCTTGGGAAAATTTTATCATTCTATTAAGGGAACATCAGTATGGAGTAGATAATTTTAAAGAGATACAAAACCTGAATCATAGGTGATCAGTTTTTGGGTAGACAATGGTTTGCTGATTCAAGTAAGAGAAGCTAGTTTTCCACAATAACAGGAATATAAATAATACACTTAAGGAATTACCTTAAGTACAATATGTATTATTACAAATATACTAATTCCCTGGAAAATATTTCAGTTTTTTTTCTCCTCATTTCTACCTAGCAGGCATGATCAATTTCCTTGATTAGTTTCCTAAGGAAAGTTTAAAAGGTGGCAGGTAAGTCTTTGGACAAGAGCCAAAGTGCACGTTGCCCACAAACAGAAATTCCTGGCTTCCTTTGGAGCTGCATGACCATGAGCACTCCTTTTTTTTTTTTTTTTTAACCACTTCTTAGTGCCCAGAAAGCACACATTAGCTAAGCCAAAAATGAAGGTTAAAATCTAAGTGATTTTTGAATGACAATTTGTAGGAATTCTAAAAGTGTGTGGTGAAACAAGAGCAAAAGTCAGGAATGGTCTTTCTTAGTAGCTGATGTTAAGACATCCTCATAGAGGTCCTTCTTACTAGCAGTTCTGCAGTCTCCACTTATATCCCATTTATCTGATCTTCACCAGAGTGACACCTCATGTGGAAGCACCTCATAGAGTGAGCTACTTCCTCTCCTTGCTATGGTTTCAACACCCAGTAGCAGACAGTCCCATAATCCCTTTCACTCTGCTACATGTCCTGTAATTCATAATGGGCTGCCCTTTGTTTCAGCATCCTATCTACCCTCTCCAGGCTCTGACTCCACATATCCTGTGCAGATGCCTTCCTCACTCCGCTTGAGCTATGACACTCCACTTAGGCTGTGTCCTACCTGATGATTACAGGCTGAGTTACCCAGGAAGGGAATAGATTCCCTTTTTTTTTTTTTCTTATGGTAGATAAATATTGGGTCTTCTCAGTTAATATCGCTGATTAATATTAATATTGCTGGTTTTTTCACTCAGCAATTTTTATTTCTTTACTACTTCTTGTTATAATCTGGGTTATTTCCTGAGAATTGTTTCTAAGCCTTTTATTCCCTCTTTACTTGAGCCTATTATGATTTATTCTCTTAATTGATATTTGCTTTAGTTCAATGATTATATTTTATTTCTAGAAGTAGCATTTATTTCTTTTTAAAAAGTCTACCTGTATATGTTTTTATAGGTTGTTTATTTCCTAAGTTTTTTAATGTCTTCCTTCTGTTTTTCTTTTGTCTTTTCAATAGTTTATAATACTTTAATACATTTGTTTTAATTTTGCAGTAGGTTTAGATAATTCTCTTATCATTAGTTCCCAGGGTACTTATACCTCTGCTTGCTCATAGTTTATTATTTTCTTGAATGTTTTGTAATTTGATTTTGAATTTATTTTCCATTGGAGTTATTGGTTTCTATAGGAATCTTAAGCACTCTTGGTTGTTGAGGTGTCTCCCCAAATGCATTTTAAAAACAAAAACTCAAACTTAACTTTATTGAAGTATAGTTGGCATGTGGGATACTTGTATGTTCAAAATGCATGTAAAGTGTAAAATTTTATAAGTTTTGACAAATGTATACACTAAGGAACACATTACTACAATTTAAATAATGAACCCATTTACCACCCTCAAACATTTCCTCCTTCACATTTGTAATCTAACTCTTTTCTGTTCCTTCTTGGTGTCCCAAGAAATCACTTACCTCCTACCTGCTTTCTGTTGCTATGGACAAATTTAATTTTTTTAGAAATTTATACAAAGAAAACCATACAGTATTATTCTGTTGAATTATTTTTGTCATCAATGTAATTATTTTCAAATTCATGTCGTGTGAATCATTAGGTCATTCTTTTTTGTTTTTTATTGTGGAATAGTATTCCATTGTGTGGATACTCCAAAATTTGTTTTTTTCAGTTACCTATTAATTGACATTTAGGTTATTTCCAGTTTTAGGTTATGGCAAATAACATTGCACAAGTAGCAACCTTTGTATGAAAATATCCCTTTTTCCCCTTGTAGGTAAGACTTAGGAGTGGTTTGGCTGAGTCATGTAGTAGATATATATTCTGGCTTTGTCTGAAACAACCAAACTGTCTACCATTGTACATTCTAACCATTGGTGTATGAGTTTCATTTGCTCTACAAACTTCCTAGCATTTGACATAACTTTTATTTTTAGATGTTAGATATTCTAATAGGTACATAGTATTTCTGAAAAATCTTCCAGTAATATCATTGACCTGGGAAAATTTTGAACCTTGATTTTTCTTGTAGTGTTTCTGTCATTATATGTAATGATATATTTTTACTCCACACCCATTTGTGGTTCAGACTGCATTTTTCTCTGAAGAGTCAAACAGTAAGCTTCCTTATCTTCTAGGAGTAGTGGTGCAGTTTTTTTGAGGTTCCCATTACATTGAGCAAGGTTATCTCTAAAAGGCTTTATTTCTTGTCCTTAAGTATATTATCACTCAAATTCCTCACCCACAAAAGCCATAGACTGACCCAGATCCAGGCTTATGTACTGGTTTTCAGATTCCTCTGTTTTCACTCCTTGAGATCCTAGACTTATTTGCAGTCTTATTCAGGAAGCAAAATATTTTAATATGTATATAATGCACTACTTCTCTGTGTTTGAAGCAGAAGAGATCAAAAGTCAGGTTATAGTGTTTTAATAAAACAGAATCCCTGGTTAGTTTAGTAATTTGATTAACGTGTGTAGTCCTGGTATTCAAAATTGCCAAGTAAAGAGTATTTTCTATAGAAACTTTGGTTTCGTGGTGCTTGGTATGGAAGTAAGACTATTACAGGTATATTATAGAATAGATATACTTTTGTACTATACTAACATGTGAACCATGTGGAATTCCAACAGTGGGAGTACATGTAAAAAATTTAAAGTAGCCAGTTTGTGGATTACTCACTGTCACTGTCCATGCTAAATTTGTATTTATGGTGTCAGTGCACACCCCAGTTTTATATATTCGTCTCTCTGTATGTGTGTGTGTATGCTAAATATATGTAAATGAGTATTGTAAATAGTAGAAACAATAATTCTAAAATTTCTTATTGGTATTTAACTTTTTGATGCTTTACTACATAAATCCTTCCAGATAGAATATTTGAATTTTGTCAACTTTCTCAAAGCAAACATGAAAAGTATCCTTGGTACCTTCTTTCTGTCTTCTATTTTTGACATTTTAATGGGATTAAATAATACTGCTAAATTACATCCCCAAATTGTTTGTATTTCATAAAAAATGACTATGTGGGGAGAATAATTAACTGGTGTCTCACAAAATTTAATGAAATATCACTCAGTAGTATTTTATTTATTACTCAGGTGAGCATTTTTGGATTATTATGCATTCATTTTAACCATTGCAACTATTACATGATTAGTAGTGACTGCATGAATTTTATTATTGAGGAAGATACCAAATATAAAAATGGGTCAAATAAAAATCATTATAAATAACTGTATAACTTGAATGTGAATATGGCAGAAATCATGACAGTCACTGACACATGAATCTTTCAGTACTAGGAAACACTATTTTTGTGGAAAAGATTTTCTTTTTAATTGAAAATTCAGGTATTTGTTGCCTAGATAAAGTGATATTTCTGGAGAGAGGAAGTTTATATTGTGGTATGTAAGACAGTTTTGTTCTTCAGAGGCCTACCTGGACTTTGAAGAAGCTTAGGATAAAGCAATAGTAAGAACTGGGTGTGCAGTGGGAAGATCATTCTTATCTTTCTGTTCATCAGTATCAATAATCAAGAATGGAAAGAGGAAACATTCTTTTTTGATGGAATAGTGATGGCAATAATTTCAGTGTCTGATGGCTACTTTCTCCTCTAATTGATGATGAAGCAAACATATCATGGAAACTTGTGTCATCATAAATACATTTTGTACTGGGTCAGTTCCCCCAAATTTATGAAAGATGACCATGTACACTTTTTTCCTTCTCTGTATGTCCAGGATTCACCAACATGAAGACTTCCCTGCAGGCAGTGGCACTATGGGGAAAGAATGCCCCTCCCCACAGCATCACTGCCATCATGATCACAGATGACCAGCAGACGATTGTGACCGGAAGTCAGGAGGGGCAGCTCTGTCTCTGGAGCCTTTCACCTGAGCTAAAGGTTAGTGAAAGCTATTGGCATTGAAATAGACAGCATTCACATAGTAAAGCACAGCTTGCTTCTTCTACCTGTGGTGACAGTGGATGGTTTGCATGATTGTTAAAAAGATGCTTACAAAAGTAATAAATTGGTTTTAGAGAAAATAAAGTGATATATGGTGGAATAAGGTCATATTTGAAAATTATATTTTGAATATTGCTAATCTTAACTATCAGCTAAATGTTATCACCCTTTAAGTTATGCTGAGTTTTACTATTTTATATCCTGAATTATATGCTAAGTAACTGAACTGTAGACATGTAAGTATAATTCTAAAAATTATGGCTCATTAATCTAAACAGAGAGCATGCATTCCTGAGAACTGCTACTAACTAAATGTGTAATATCTTAATTATCTGGGTGTCTCCACTGTGCTTGGCCTTCTTGCCATTCTTTTGGTCTCTGCTTTCATGTGATTGTTACAGATCACATCAAAATGCTCTAAGTCCAATTTACTATGGTTGTCCTTCTATTTCAGAACCTGACCTCACCTAGGATTTGGCCCATTGATTAGCAATTAATTGTCTCTGTCCCAAGTCATAAACATTTAACATATTGGAATAGATATTTGCTTAACTCTAGCAGTCTCTAGACCCAATTTGTACATTTAAACTAATGATGTACTTAAAGTATACTGCCCTCATTAAGAAGCCTTTTAAAGATCAAAGACTATTTTTAGCCTTTAAAGTCTGTCACTTTAAAACCTAAATTAACAATTAATTGTAATTCTATTTTATAGTGTAATTAATTAACATCTCCTATCACTGAACAGTTCTACTACAGGACTGCCAAGAACCACATAGCAGAGAAGCTAGGCTTGATGTTTATGAACACCCATGAAAGAAGGAATGAGTATTATTGCAATAGTTGTGCTTTGAAAATGATAGGCCATATATATCTTGAAATTATATTTTCTGTTATAGATTTAAACTCAGACTCCTAAATGGCTTTAAATGTCTTGTTAATCTTTTTAATGTTGAGTATTATTATTTTCTGGCTGAAGCAGTTGCCTAGTAATGTGCAGTTCACTCTAAGTTTAAGACATTTGAAATGCTGACATCTTGATCCTTTTTTATTTGTTTCTGCTATTTATCCAGCCTTTGTTCAGCATACATTTGTTGAGTATGTAGGCTCTAAGGTAGGCTAGATGCTAGTTACTCATGAGTTCAAACACAAATGAGACCTGTGCTGGTTGCCCAGGAAGTTTCAGTATGGTAGAGGAAGGATTTAGGTTAATGTAGTGCAGGTATGTTGCAGTACAAGGTATTCTAAGTAGGGAGTTGTCTGCAAGTATGTACAGTTGAGAAGTTATACCATGTTTCTCTTTGTAGCAAGTCTTCCTGGAGTTAGAGCAGTGATTCATAATAGGGATCTATTTTGCCATCCAAGAGAAATTTGGTAATATCCACTGGCATTTTTCTTGTCAAAATTGAAAGAAGAAATTACTGTAAACATCTTAGGGTATGCATGACAGTTCCTACAACAAAGAGGTTTTCCCATTTTAAATGATAATGACACTAATATTAAGAAACTCAGGGTTAGAGGTGTGATTTGGGAATGAGAATCAGATTAGCCAGGGACTGGGGGCAACTAGATCATGCTCTGTTAAGGAAATAGCCTGTGCCTGCAGGAAAACAAAGAGTTTTCTGTCGCTGTAGCCTAGATGTGAACAAAGATCAGAGAGAGGTGAGGCCAGGAGAGAAGATGGGTTTGGCCTGGTCGTGTAAGGTTTAATGACCAGTGAAGGAACTTATATTGAATATTTAAAGCAAAAGGAGACATTGAGAAAATTTAAATTGGGGATAGTATTGGTTTTGTGATTTGGAAATTCACCATGAGGATGTTGTTGGAAAAGTTTGCAATGTGAATAAGGTGTTGATTAGTACAAATGTAATACTTTCTCTATGAATTTGACTTCTTTACATTCCTCACATAAATGTAATCATACAGTATTTGCCTTTTCATGATGGGCTTATTTTACTCTGTTGAGGTTTATCTGTGTTATCACATGTGACAGTGTTCCCTTCTTTTGTAAGACTTAGTAATATTCCATTGTGAATATATAACACACCACATTTCATTTATCCATTCATCCATCAATACATATTTGCACTGGCTATTGTGAATTATGCATAGATACATCTTCATCCCTGATTTCAGTTGTCCTAGTTGTACACTTAGAAGTGGAATTGCTGGCTCGTATGGTAATTCTATTTTTAATTTTTTGAGAAATCCTTATGGTGTCTACATCATTTTATATCCCCACAAACAGTGCACAAGTGTTTCAGTTTTTTTCTACATCCTCACCAATAACAGTTTTTTAATAATAGCTGCTTTAATATATAAAGTAGTATCTTATAGTTTTGAAGGAAAAGGCTTTCTAAGAATGAGACTGAGTTTGAACTAAGTTTTAAAGGGTTCACAAGAGTAGAAGGAGGAAGGAGAGTGCAGACAGTGGTAGCAGCAAGTGTGTGTAAAAGGTATAAGCGTTTAGTTGTCAGGGAACTGATAAAAGAGGTTGAGTAGATCATGAAGGATAAATTAGAGGTCATAGATGAGACAGACCCCACATGGCATCTGCAAGAACCGGCCCTGTGTGCAGATTAAAAACAGTGGCGATTATTCAGGATTAGAAGATGTTTACTGTAAAGAAATAATACTCCCATGTTTAATTGTGTTTATATTGTAGAATATCACAGGCTAGTGTTGTGCAGGTCATGTTGAAAGAAAGGAGAGATGAGACCAAGGACAGGGGGCTATGTATAGGAGCCTTCTCCAGTAGTTTAGTCCAGAAAGTTTTTGAGCATGAAACAAATCAATGGCCCATGGGGATGAAGTGAAGATGAAAACTGGGAATATGTTAAGAAGAGAGAATGGGAAGAACTGAGAAACCAATTAGTTGTAGTATCGTTGAAAGGGTACAGTCAAGAATACTTTCCAGATTTGAATTTTGTGTGATGGTAGGACTGGTAAGATAATATTATCATTTATTTTAAAAGAGTTAAAGGGATTAGGACATTGTAATAGGGAGGGAAAGAAGGTGATGTGAGTTCTGGACATCCTGCAGTATCCAGGTATTCAGTAGCAGATTAAGTATGTCCCTCAGTTTTCCCTGACCAGGGTGGGATGTTAGGGAGCAAGGGAGCTAGGGAACAATGTCTGCAGGTCTTAGGCTTCTCATTGTTTGCCTTGGTTATGCATGCTGCATGTTCTGGGTCTGCTCCTAGAACCCTCTAGTTTGTAGGGTGCACCAGTGAGGATGTCTGTGGCTTGTGGCTTGTACTAGAAACTTCCTCACTTGAGTTTTCTGATATTGACTGCTGATACTCATCACACCTAAGCGTAGATAAAAATGAGGTAAACATCTTCTCAGAGTCCCTTAGTATTGCTATTATCTAATTTTCCTCCTGTTCAGTACTCAAAGTGAAACAAAGTGAAAAACAGCAGTGTGTGTAAAGATAAAATGAAAATCTCATTTGAGGTCTAGTTCTGATATTTACCAACTCTGTGATACTGGGCAAATGACTTGTATTCTTTGAGCCTTGATTTTCTCACATGTAAAATGTGGATTTAAACACTGTCTATGGTTGTACCAGTCCCTGGAATATAGTAGATGTTCATCTAGTCATGCTGTCTTCCATTTGTGCTATTAGAAGCACCTGAGAGTGAGGTTAGGAGGTTCCAAATACTGCATAGAGGTACATCCAATGAATAGGAGTAAAGGTCTCCCGATGTCATGACAAGAGCTAGGCATAGGTGTGGAATTTATTTTTTTTATTCTTCACAGCAGCAAAATGAGGTTACAGAGATTGTCACAATTTATTTAAATTAAATACTTTTGGGGATTTATTAGCAGAATGAAGTTTTTGTGTAACAGGCAATGATAGATTCTAATATTTTTTTTTGATATTTTGTCCACAATAGATTTTCTTTAAAGAAGGAAATATTCTTGATGTACCCTGTACTTAACCTGGCTTTTAATACTCTGGAAAGAGACTAAGTGAATGGGAATATGCACTACAGAGTATGAGGATTTGAAAAATATAGGATGTTATTTTCTAAGCTGGAACTTTATGGACTTCCCAGGAAAAAAAATTAGAGTTAGAATGTATCTTGTAAGTGATTCAGTTCCACCACAAGACCTTCTTAGCCTAGCAATAGACCTTTTAAAAAAATATTTCTGTAATCATAGATATGAAAGAAAGAAATAATTATATTATAGAATAATTTATCCTTATTGATATGCCTGGGTTATCATTTACATATATTTTTGCATAGCTCAGAAAAAAATCACAATGGTATTTTTTGTAGTAATTCATTTGTAATATAGATTTTTTGTTACCCAAAATACATTTTCTAATCACTCAAATAAAATTTTTGGTCTATTATTGTTATTTACCACTTACAGAGACTATATATGTTTTCTATTTTGTAGTTTAATTTTTATGATCTTGTCTTACAAAATAATGAAGAATATACTTTTTCACACATGATATAATGGTAGAATTAACCCTTAATTTTATATATTAAGATTCTCATTCAGGAGAAAAATATTTGTATTTTAAATAATCATTTAATTAAAATATTTTTAGTGAAGAAAACAGGTTCTTATCAAAATTAAGTAGAAGATACAGAGAGTTTCCATATACTTCTTCTGCCCCCCATACCAGTTCCCTTCACCATCAATCTGCCACACTAGAGTGGTATATTGTTTACAATTAATGAAGCTAGCTATACATAATTATCACCAAACTCTATAATTTAGAGTCGGTTCACTTCTTAATGTTATGTGTGTGTGTGTGTGTGTGTGTGTGTGTGTGTGTGTATGTATACACAAACACACTTATGGTATCATGTAGAATATACAGTCTTAAAAATCCTCTACTCCATATTCATGTCCCATTCCCCTGAACCTCTTATAATCACTGATATATTTTTAATCTCCATAATTTTGCCTTTTCTATAATATCATGTATTTAGAATCATACAGTGTATAAAATTTTCAGATTGACTTGTTTCACTTAAGTAATATATATTTAGGTTTTCTCTCTATCTTTTCATGGCTTGATAGCTCATTTCATTTTAGCATTGAATAATACTTCATTGTATTAATGTGCAGTACCATGACTTGTTTGTCCATTCATGTACTGAAGGACATTGTGGTCATTTCCACATTTCTGGCAATTATGAGTAAAGCTGCTGTAAACAGTGTGCAGGTTTTTGTGTAGATAATACTTTTTAACTCATTTGGGTAAACACCAGTGAATGTCATTACTGGGTTTTATGTAATAGTATGTGTAATTTCATTATAAACTGATAAACCCACTTCCCAATTTTGCATTCTCATCAGCAACGAATATATGTTCTTATTGTTCTACATTCGTGCTAGCTTGCACCTATTGTTATCACTGTTCTGGATTTTAGCCACTCTATTAGGTGTCTACTGGTACTTCATTTTTGTTCTAATTTGTATTACTTTTATGAAAGATGATGTAGAGCACCTTTTTAATATGCTCATTTGCCATCTGATTATAATCTTTGTTGTCTGCTTCCAATTATTTTTAATCAGGTGATTCATTCTACTATTATCGAGTTTTAGGAATTCTTTAGGGCTAGAAGTGTGGCTCAATGATTGAGTGTTTGTCTAGCATGTTTGAGGCCCTGTGTTTAATCCCCAGCACCACAAAGAGAAAAATTTCTTTGTATATTTTGAATAAATAGTTTCTTATCAGATATATCTTTTGCAAATGTTTCTCCCAGTCTCTAGCTTGTCTTGTTTTTATGATCTTTACTTTTGTTTCTTGATTTTTACTTTTGATATAAATAAGAAACATGTTTACTTTAAAAATTTTAGGGAATAACTTAGAAGTGAATATTCTGCACTGGCCTTGTGTTTGGTCAATGATTAAGGACATTTCAGCTCTTTTTCTCTTTGGTTTTTGAAAGTATAATTGTCAAATAAAGATTATTTATATCTAACATGTTTGATATGGTGACTTAATGTACATATGTATTATAAATTGTTTACCACAAAATGTATCACTGTCTTTACATATATCACCTCATATAGTTACCGTTTTTTGCTTGTGGTAAGAACACTTAAAATCTACTCTCGTTAAATTTCAAGTGTGCAATAATAGTTAGCATTATATTTATTATTATTTTGTATAGTATGACGAATCTAATCCAGGGCCCAATGTATGCTCAGCAGGCACTCTACTACTGAGCTATATCCCCAGTCCAAAATATGGTACTATCAACTATACATACCATGCCATATATAGAGCTGTAAAACTATTCCTCTTATAACTCAACATTTTCCTTTGACTAGTATCTCCCCATTTCTTCCCTACTTCCAACTTCTGTAAACCACTGTTCTATTCTGTTTCTATGAGTTGGACTATTTTGAATTCATCATATAACTAACATCATATAGCATTTGTCTTTGTCTGGTTTATTTCACTTATCATAATAACTTATCCAGGTTTATCTGTATTGTCACAAATGATAGGATTTTCTGTTTTATGACTGAATAATAATTCTTTATGTGTCTATATATATATATATGTACATGTATATATGCACATTTTCTTTATGCATTCATTCATTGATGAACACTTAGGTTGTTTCCATATTTTAGTTATTATGAATAATGCTGCAGTGAAAATGGGTGTACAGATATCTCTTCAAGTTACTGATTTCAATTCCTTTGGATACATACACAGAAATAAAATTGCCGGGCCATACGGTAGCTCTGTTTTTAATTTTTTAAGAAATTTCCATTTTTTTCCAAAACGCTGTATTAATTCATATTCCTATCACTAATAAGGTAGTTTAATGGTTATAAAAATGTAATATTTTCAGTGTTATTATTTTGTGAGTTCATTTAAATTCTGAAATCTACACATTAATATGCTACCGTCATTCTACACATTAATATGCTACTGTCATTCAGGAGACATTTTACATATCATAAACATCAACATGACTTATTTGTATTCAAAACCTAGATGTTGTAGAACAGATCTGGCTATCATCTAGATTTCATGATGCATACCAAACCAAAACAAACAAAAAATTGGGTACAGCACAATTGCTTTACCTACGTTTTATTCTATGCATTTTGAGAGTTAATATATCAGTTTTCCTGAAATATATGTACAGAAAAAGTATAATATAAAAGGGTCTCTTAATACAAATATACACTATAATCTTATTTTAGTCAGTTTTTTTTTTTGCCATTGTGACCAGAAGACCTGACAAGAACAATTTTAGAGGAGGAAAAGTTTATTTGAGGCTAACCATTTCAAGCAACTCTGCTTGGGAAAGAACATCATGGCAGAAGGTCATGGTGGAGGAAAGCAGCTCAGGAGAAGACCACCATGAAGCAGAGTGTTTCACTCACCAGAGACAAAATATATACCCAAAGACCCACCTTATCTAGCTATACTCTACCTGCTTACAGTTACCACCAAGATAATCCCTATTAGCAGATTAAGGCACTGATTAGGTTAGCATGCTCACAATCCAATCACTTTGCTTTGAACTTTCTTGCACTGTCTCACATATGAGTTTTTGGGGGACACTTAATGTCTAAACCATAACAGATGTCTTTATTTTTCAAACGGTTTTTAGTTATGTGAAAGCTTCCTCTCATCATTTTCAGATTTCAGCTAAAGAACTCCTATTTGGTCATTCTACTTCAGTAACATGTTTAGCAAGAGCGAGGGACTTCTCTAAACAGCCATATGTCGTCAGTGCTGCTGAAAATGGGTAAGATATGTGGAACTTTGTTCCCTTCTTTATTCCATTCCCTTTCTGAAGACTATAATGGGGTATGACTTGTGGTCTAAAAAAATTTTCCATGATCAACATGTTCCTTTTACATATAGGAAAAGTTAGATCTTAAATGACTGAGTACTTTTTGATTTGGTCCCAAGGAATATAATCAGTATTGTGATCTCAATGCAATACTCTTGCTGGGTGAGGACCAAGATAAACATTTTAATGTCACCCCCTTACTATGTGAAGAATAATAACAAATACCTAGAATAATAGAATTGGAAATGGAAAAGTTAAGCTGCTTGTCTGCTTTCATGTAGTTAATTACTTTTGAGATTTTAAGTAAACTTATCCATTACAGTTTTACAAAACAATTCAGTAGTTACATTCTTCATGTTCTCTCAACTGAGAATGGAGTGGTGGGAAAGAAAAGGGAAAGGAACATAGACTGTGATTTGCCTGAAGTTTCAGGGAAGCAAGGCTCTCCAGTAAAAGAGGACATAGCTGGAAGAAGAGGCCTACCAACAGAAGAGCTTGACTGCTGAAGAGTTATTTGCCAACATGTACTAGGAATGTGGAGTCCATTCTGTATTTGTGAATGAGGGATTGAGTTACTAGCAGAAGTAAGAGAATGCCCTCTTTTGTTTTTTACCCAAAGGGATAATATATGCCTTTGAACTCTAAGAACCAAGAGAATAATAAAGAATCAGGTGTCCCACCTGTTTAAACTATTAACAAAATAGCTAGCAGAATAGTTGTATAAGAGATACCTGGTCTCAGAGTTTATAGTATAGCAACAGGGGATCATAGTTAGAGAAATGTATACTTAGACATACATAGTATAAATGCTAAGAGAATTCACAACTGATAATGCCTCCATAATGATGAAGTTTTCAAGGATATACTTCTGTAGGAAGAATAATAATTTCAGAAGGAAGCTATGAAATGAAAAAAAAAGAATATTGATAAAAACAAGCAAATTTTTAGAAAATTTAAATGAACCCAGACTATAAGACATACTGTTTCTATATACTCTCTCTACCTGCCACACATACACATAATCTTAGTTGACAATAGCATAGACTAGTTTCAATTCCAGATTCCACATGTTTTGCTGTTCTACGTGTGAATAAAGATGTTGATTAACTTTTTAAATCCGCATCCCTTTTTTAATATATTTTATTTAGAGACAGGGTCTAGCTGATTTCTTAGGACTTCGCTAAGGTGCTGAGGCTGGCTTTGAACTTGCAATCCTCCTGTCTCAGCCTCCTGAGCTGCTGGGATTACAGGCATGGGCCACTGCACTCAGTTGATGTTGATTAACTTTAGAATTTCAAGCCTCATGTATATATTGTATGTCTATACAAACAGAATAAATAAAAATAAAAGAAATGGGATATACTTCTAATTTAAAAAAGAAGAAAAAATTGTTTAATCCAAAAAAGACATCAGAATCAAAGAAAATGAGACAGATAGAAAGCACAAAACAAGATAGTTGAAATAAATGAAGATAAAATAGAAATCCCAATTATATAATGACACTAAGACCCCTCTGTTAACTTATAAAGATTGTCAGACAATTAAAAAAATTGTATAAGAACATGGAAAACTTAAAAGAAATGGATGGAAAAAATTAATCAAATATGTACTAACCAAAATAAGGTTGATATAGCTACATTAATATTTTATATTAATAAATATATATATTTAATAAAACTTTTAAGGGAAAAGCCTTGGCACTAATAGAGTTATTATTTATTAGTAAAACTTTTCGATCATTGTAAAAAGATGAGACCAGAGAATGAGGCAGACTCTAGGCCTGTCAGGTCTCTAAGACTGTAAACCTTAAACCTGAGTGTGCATCACAGTGAGAGTCACTCACAGAGCTTGTTTCCCAATTTGGGGGCCTTATTCCTGGAGTCAAGGAAATAGTAGATATGAGCTGGGGTCTAAGAACTTGTGTTTCTAACACAATCTTAGAATATTCTGATACTTCTAGCTCAGAGACCATATTTGAAGTAGCACATACCCCATATTCAGCCAGTGAGAGAAATGTGGAATCAAGAATAACTTGGGAAATTCACTAGTGATGATACCATTCACTGGGATAAAGAACTAATGCTCATTTTGAACACAAGATGTATGCATTTCTGCAAGTCATCCAGGAGGAAATATCTAGTAGCTAGTTACATGTGGAAATCTAGAGCTCAGTTGAAGATGTCTGGCTTCCAATTAGCATGGTGACAGTAACTGAAGACATGGGAATAGATGACTCACCCTGAGAGAGTGGCAAGTCTGAGAATGTAAAAGAGTCTAAGACAAAAACCTAAGGAGGATCACCACTTAAGAAGCAGACAGAGGAAGAAGAGGAGCCTGACCATACTAGAGAAAAGTCATAAGCCTAATAGAAGGCAAGGGAAAAGGGTTTGAAGAATCCAACAAACTTCTAATTCAAGATGGCATACCAAGTATTCAGTTTATTATCTCTCCCTCCAGTTACAACATTGAAATTTGAGCAAAGCAACAGTAGCATTAATAAGAGAAAAATAAATAGAACAAAGAAAAAATAGTATATTTCTAAAACATGGAAAATGTATAGAAGAATAGCAACTAATACATTTATCCATTAATGAATTTTTATTGAGTATACTGAGGACAGATTGTAGAGTTGAATAAGGAAAAAAATCCCTTCTCAAGGCCTTACAGTGAAAATTTAACAGTTTTTTAAAAATTTTGTATGCTATAGATATTTCCTCTGTGCTTCTGTTTCTTCTTGAAATAAAAAATAATTAGTAAACTTACCTAGGAACAAGTCAACTGGCCAAGAGCTTTTTTAAACCCCACATACCAGGACCCCAACACAGATGCATGGAATTAGAATCCTTGAGGTTAATTTTCTGAAATAGGTGATTGTTGATGTATAATAAGAGTTGAAAAAGATGGGTAGTAAACTTAAATCCCTAGTAGAACTAAAATTTTTTATTGTTGGATGCTTGAGTTTCAATTTCCTTACCTTTGAGATATATTTATTTAATTTTGTGGTGGATTATTAGTTGTTTTGCCTTAGAGTTATATGATTTTAATTTCTGCCTTTCTTGCAATCTTATTTTTCAGAACATGTTTCCCTCCTCTTTTAATAGTTACATGCCTATTCAAGTTACCTTTTTGTAATAAGGTTGGATATAAACAGAGCCTTGAATATTTTCCTTCTTTATTTAGAATATGGTTTCTCAACCTCAGTGCTAATATTTTGGACTGAACCAGCATTTGTTGTGGGAGATGATCCTGTGCATTGTAGGATGTGTAGCAGCATTGCTTGTCTCTCCCCACTAGGTGCCAGTAGTGTGTTCCTAGTTGTGACAACTGAAAATATCTCCAAACATTGCTAAATGTCCTTGGGAAGTGAAGGAAGGGGCAAGGGGATCAAAATCACCTCAGGTTTAGAGCCAGTTATTTAGAAGATTGATTTTTAGTGTTTGGTTATGACCCCCCTCCCCGCCCCAAAAGCCTCAAATTACCACATAAATATAGTATTTACTGTTATTAGTCTCTATTTTGCTTATTCTAAATAGCAGTATTTAGCTTAATGCCTGTAAAACTTGTTTTTCTTCAATAAAAAATTTTGTTTGTTAAAAATGTCAAAACAGCAATATTATCAAACCACTTTGAAATAGCCTTTCTTGTTTCTGTAAACAGAAGTCATATAGATTTAAACTACCCTACCTGGGTGTATTTTATTACTGCATTTTAGACTGTATTTGTGTCTTTGTAACATGTGGAAACAAGTAAAACTTTTCAAAACAATGAGAGTTTTCTAAATATTGAGTGACAAGGATGATTTCAAATAAAAAGAAACTATATCAGTGATAGACCATATGTAGCCTCTTGGTGGCGCTGTTAGATTTTACAAAAATGATACCTTGGCTCTAAAAGATGCAGCCCTTGATGTATTGTGCTTTTCAGAATATGTAGTTTAAGTTCAGTGAAATAAACCATTTCTAGAGGATGCAGTTTCCATGGAAAGATTGTTGTACTGTCACTCACAGGCTGTGATAGCTGTACCCCCACAATTTGTTGTAGGCCAGGTTGACCCTAAAGTAAGGTTTGCAGGCAATGGCAGGGTGTAATTACCCAAACAAAAAGATACAGATACAGTATGTCAACCTCGCTAATGACCACAACATTTTCTTGCCCAGTAATCTGTAACAAAAAGCCACATAAACGATCAGGTTGTGCTTAAGTACGATGCTAAAGAAAAAGTTGGTGGTACAAAAATTATTCCAGCCAATTGAGTGGAAATGACAGGGAATAATACAAAGTTATGTCTTCTAGGGAGATGTGTGTTTGGAATGTCACCAATGGACAGTGCGTGGAGAAGGCTACACTTCCTTACACCCACACTGCCATCTGTGTAAGTACATTCAGAACATTTCAGGATTGCAACTCATTTAGAACATTTGCAATACACATATTTAAAGGCATATCTTTGTAGAATATTATTTTCTTTAACTCTTTGTCATGAGAGTAAAATATCAGTAATCCTCCACTATTTTGGCATTCTTCTTTCTCAAAAGCTGTTGTTCAATGAAAATTGTTTTCCCTAATTCTTTTATTTCTGTATGTTATATTTGAAAGACTATTTTTGTATTTTTCCTTAGTGACACTCACAAAACATACATGGACATTTGTAAAGAAGTCATTTTAAATGATTCAGTTTAAATGACACACTATTTTATAAAGCAGCAAAAGGATTTTTCCCTCATTTTCCATTGTTCTTAATTTCTGAAGTTTTACTTATAAAAAGAGAGTAAGAGGCATAGCCATCACGTTTATAACCACTTCCTAATGTATTATTATCTATCTATTTATTGTTTTTTTTTAATTGCTGGGGATAGAACTGAGAGCCTCATACATGCTAGGCAATTGTTCTACCACTGAACTATATTCCTAGCCCCACTTCCCAATTTTTAAAACAGAGTCTGGCTTTTGGGGGATGGGTTCCATTGGTGTGGACAGTCTTAGACATGTCACCCATTGCTTTAAGTATGGATACCTGGCTTTGCAATAGCCACAAACTCTTTTCTATTCTTTTGGGGCCAAAACTCTGCACATTAAGAAAGTTCATTAAAGGTACAGTTTATTACTTGATCTTTTATAAAAACCATTTCCAAAACCTATTTGGCACAAGAGTTTCTCAAATGCTCTTCAAATACTTTTATTTCTTATCAACACGTAGCAGTATTGCTAGGTTAAAGAACATAGGTTTTGTTGTTGCTGTTTAGCAAAAACATTCCAGAAATAATATACTTGTGAGATTTCCATGATTTGGAACAATATTTCTTCTTTCCAAAAGATCCTTCTTTCTCCAGAAAAAAATGGTAAAATATAATTGAAACTGATGTGCAAAATCAACATCATAGGATTACAGAATAAATAAACTAAAATAAATTTGTGTTGTTTTCAGTTTAATATTTTAATTGAACAGCTATTAAAACTAAAATTTAGAGTAGTCTTAAATATAGCCAAAGTTAAATTAAATGCTATAATAGTTAAATTTTTTCTTTGAATTTCATTTGTACAGTATTACCACTGCTCATTCCGGATGACGGGAGAAGGCTGGCTTCTGTGCTGTGGAGAGTATCAAGATATCCTTATAATTGATGCCAAAACTTTGGCTGTCATTAACATGTTCACATCATCTCAGTCTCCTGATTGGATCAACTGCATGTGCATTGTTCATTCCATGAGAATTCAAGGTAATAGTTGGATATTGAACATTGCTAAGAGATTGCATGTAATTCATCTACTTTTGAATTATTTATTAAATTATTGGGCAAAAGTCCAGAGTGCTTTTTACATTTTCTTGTTAGTAGAGATATTTCTGTAAGTTAGATCAAGACAAACTGAGAGCACGCACTCCAGTGTGTCATTAGAAAGTCAGGAAGATGTTAAGATAAGTGGAGAAAGGAGGTTTCTGTCACTTAGTTCTGTGTGGTATGTTAAGAATAATGGGCAGTATTTTGTCTTGCTGTATTTTCTGGATGTTATGCTGAGCAAGACAGAAGAAAATGAAAACTGGCTCCTCCGTTTATTTCTAAAATAAGAAGTTTGAATACTACCAACTTATAATTGATAATATGGTTCTTCTATTAGTGGTATTCCCCTTATACAAAGGGATCACTTTGAAATTTTAAAGCAAATTTGGAACATGGTATGAAATGTCAGTTTTTTACTTAAGAAATACACCAAGTTGAACATTTTCTACCTACATAACTCTGCATAATCCTTGAATGAGTATGAAATGGTTTATACAGCAATGAGTTATGGCACTGTCCAGCTTATATGTGATCTTTGTTCATTTTACAGAAGATTCTCTCTTGGTGGTATCAGTAACTGGTGAGCTCAAAGTATGGGATCTCTCCTCATCTATCAATAGCATTCAGGTTGGCTTGGTATCTACTATCTTCTCTCCAATTTTTAGTATATTTAGTGAAACTTTTAAATTATTATGGTATTGTATGTTCACAGTTAAAAGTTTAAATGATGTAGAAGTATATAAATTTTATTTCCATCTACTTCCCCCTCCATCTTCCCAGGGATGAGCATCAGTATGGTTGAATTATACCCTTCCAACTTTTCTCCTTGCAAATGTTTTTACGTATACACTGATGTGCATACACATGAAGAGATTATGTTTTTAATTTAAAAAAAATTATAGCAGAATATCTTCTGTCCCTTATAGCAGAAGATTCTCTTTTTCTGGGTGTGTGAATAGTACAAGGAGGTGGCCATGAACAACTGTGGGTTTTGTCCCCAGGAGTCCAGCATGACACCTTTTTCTGGCATCAGACTATGAGTTGAAGTAATGAATAAAGGAAGGGACATTGTGTTCATGTTTGTGACAGTATTGTTTAGGCCTTCGAAAGGGTTCTAGGGTCTCTTTAGGAATTTTGAGGTTGAAGAAGCCTAGGAATTGTTAGTATATTGAGGTCAAGAAACGTACACCCCACCCAGCATTATTGGTATTCTCTTTATACACAGGGATCACTTTGAAATTTTAAAGCAAATTTGAGAGCCTTGTTTCCCATCTGAATACTAATCTGGAGCAACCCTGCTTTATTTCTGAAATCAAATGAGATCAGGTGAATTCAGGGTGGTATGTCTGAACAATTGAGAGCCTTGTAGTCTGTGTTCATTGTTGGCTACTTTTGTGTCACTTTCAAAGCACTTCATTTATTCTTTTAATATTTTGGTAATTAAGGTACTGCAGGTTTGTAGAAATTGTTTACAATTTTTGTTTGATCTCTCTGCCATATCTGAATATCAGTAACTTTATTTTCTCCACATCCAGAATGGTTCCCCAGAGTGTTTGTTGAGTGATTATATAAAATAAGTCTTTGAATCCAAGTGGATTTCCTGCTCACAGATTCTTTTTAAAGGAAACTTCTTAGTTCAAAACACTGAAACACAAACTAGGATACTTTTACTTTTATAATGGTATGGTCTACTTCAGGTATATGGTCAAATATAAATTTCTAAAAATTAAAACTAAAATGTTTTTCTTTCATTTTCAAGGAAAAGCAAGTTGTCTATGAAAAAGAATCCAAGTTTCTTGACTCTTTGAACTGCCAGACAATACGATTTTGTACATATACTGAGAGACTTCTGTTGGTGGTGTTTTCTAAATGTTGGAAGGTAGTATTAAATAACATAATAAATAAATAGCAGTGATGTACAAATTTAGTTTTGTTCATGACAATATTTATAAAAGTATGATTTATATATGATACAAATTCTTATAATAATATTGCAAGAGTGTAGAATGACTTATCTTTCATGACTGACTGATTAATTTTCAACTCTTTTTTAAGCCACTTTGTTTTCTAAGATATTATTATATATGTCATGGTATATTCTAATTTTATGAATAGAAAATCATAATTATAATGTCTATCTCTAAATTATTTTTAAATGTTGGTGCCTCACTTCAGAATTAAAAAGAAAACTAAAACATTTTACGTACAGAGATTAAACCTTAGTTTTAGATTTTTTTCCTTTCTCTGTTACTACATTTGCTTCTAGGGAATATATATTCTTTTCTTGTGAATATATTGACTGAAGTCTGCAAGAGGAAAGCTAAGTTTTTCTTTGCGTCATTTTCTCGTGCCCTTCTTTTCTTAACTGTTACACATAACTGGCTCAATGAGCAGAACTATATTGTCTTACTTGTGTGGTGATAATATATTTTTGAACAAAGATTTAAAGAACATTGTATAGCAAAGGATTTCTGCTATATAAACTTGCACATGTTAAACCTAGAATAGTCATGGAAAGAATCAAATTGTTTTGAAATTTAGGATTTGAGGTTTGTTCATTTAATAAACACATTCTGGAATGAGGCAACCAAATAAACTTCATCCTTGGAAACCTATGTTAGGATGAATGTGGGAAAAAAAAAATAAATGCTAGTAAAATATAATCTTGAACCATGAGTACCCTGTGGTCTGTTACTAAAAATTAATATGTTGTTGAATTATGACTGTCATTCTAGGTTTATGATTATTGTGATTTTTCCCTTTTGTGGACTGAAGTTAGTAGAAATGGGCAGTTCTTTGCTGGTGGAGAGGTGCTTGCTGCTCACAGAATCCTCATCTGGACAGAAGATGGTCACAGTTATATCTATCAGCTGCTGAACAGGTGGGCTCAGATGGGAGCAGCATACAAAACATTCAGGTAGAAAATGAACTTTGGGAGGTTTATTATGGAAAAATCCCTGCATGCTGCCCATGATCAAAAACCAGAACAAAACAACTTTGGCACTAGAAGATTTACTCTGGGCTTGGTAGGCTTCAGCCTTTGTACAAAACAGCAGGGGATGAAGGAATGAGATTAACCATGTATAACTTGTACAGCTGGTGCTGGGTTTTCAAAAAGTCACTTGTAATTATTAACCCAACATTTTCTAACTAGAGTTTAGAAACTTGAATGGTACCATCCGGCTTTTGAAAATGGGAGGGGGGAAAAAACAAATAAAGAACTGCAAATTTCTAAAGTTTGCTTCTCATTTTTGTGATGTAGTGGCCTTTCAAAAAGCATATACCCTGCTGATGGAAGAGTGCTTAAAGAGACCATTTATCCTCATTTACTGTGCTCTACTTCTGTGGAGGAAAACAAGGTAACGTAAGAAAAGAGTGGCTACCTCCATCCAATCTGTTTCACTCGGTTTCTTAGATGAGTGAGTGTTGCTTTGTTTGTAACAGAATCATCCTTGAAAAAATTAACTTGAATCATCACATGAAGTTGTTAATGAGAAAATCAAGTTTTATTGTTAATGGCTACTGAAGAGAAAACATGGTGCTTAAAAATCTAGATGTACAATAGATTATAAAAATAAAAAATATTTTTATGTCTCATTAACCAATACCTATTTATCATAGGCAAATTATAAATGTTGAAGAAAATAAAGGAGATTAAAATTCTAATTCCACTACCATAAATATGTACTGTTTTAGATTTTAAAATTTCATTTTATGTGTTTCTTTCTTGTAGTTGGATACGTTTCAAATATTTAGAAAACTTGTGAGAATAGTACAGTGATCACTTATATATCCTTTATCTATATTCAGCAGTTACTAACATCTTGTCACATTTATTCTCTCTCCACACACACATTTACCTACATTTTTTTCCTTTGACCATTTTGAAAGATGTTTACAGAACATTGTTAACATTTTAATGTAACTACTCTAATTTTGAAATGTTATGAGATGATTTTTATCCTGATCTTTTAAAAACCATATATCAAGATCATTTTCACATATACTTAACTATTCTTATGAGTAAATTTTCTTGTTAAAATAAATGTAATTATGATTTCTGGCAGAGAGTTGAGAATACAATTGTGAGCTTGATAGTTTGCTAAATTATACCTTTGGCACTCTAGGAAGTCTGAAAATCTAAGCAGTTATTTTATTTCAACGGTGGGTGTTCCTTCAAGTGATTTTTTTAAACCTCTACACTTGGTCATCAGTTAATTATCCAAAAAGGTATTTCATAGAGGGAGGAAGAGTTTTGAATTATTGATGTGTCAACCAAGAAAGCATGCTTTTTGCAGAATGATGGTTTGCTTAATTAGACAGCAGAGCTGTTGGAAATCCTATAGTTCAGTGATTGTCCCTTTAATATATCGGTGAAAAGTTTTGTTTCCAAAACTTGATTAAGAAGCTGTGAAGCCAAAATTTAGAACCCCAAATGTCACTGGAGCATAGATAAACTTTAGAATTATGGCATATATTAGGGGATGATTTCAAAATTATTTGTTAGCAGCAATAGAACCCTTTCCTTTTTGTTTTGTTCTTGTTGTTTTGCTATTTATCACAAAAGCAGCACTGTTGGTTACTCAGGAATGCGTTTTCAGTTATTTTAAAGGGCACGTGCTTTCCTCCAGTTTAGCTCCAGAGTATATTTTTATACAGTACAGTTTTCTCTAGAAGCCAATTATAAGTCATACCCTTCAGAAGCTTCTAGTCTACTACAAATACCAATGTTGTACATAACCATTTAAAACACAATTTAAGAAAACTAATGGGAAGCTACATTGCCGTGTTTCTCAAAATGTAAATGTATGGGTCTTCTATCAATAATTCTTACTTAGAGAATCATAATTGCTTCTGTATCTTTAGTGTGGGAAGGGCTTAAAAGTCAGTGAAATATGAGTAGTGTAACCTAAAACTGAAGGACATTGATCACCCATCCTTAGACTCTTGTTTATCCTCTATCCATTAAATAAGTTAAAGCAGAGTGTTATCCTCCTTGTTCAGACACTACCAGCATTCACTAACTATAATACTTAGTCTTTCCTGTAATTAGGAGGCAATGAAGGCATGTGGTAGAATTGAAAAGATGAGTTTGAGAGATACGTGAACCTAGAAAAAAAGTTTGCTCTGTAAATATATAGTTTTGATTAGACTTGTTTTGGGGAGTGATACCTTAGAATTAAATCTGGAGGTTTGGCAGTTACATGTTGTGAGAGTTGCCTTGGTAATACATGTGAACAATTGCCTCTCGTCTTTCAGCCAAGTGTAATACCTGTGAACATATCTTGCAAGACTGGGAATCCACCCTTGTAATACCTGTGAACATATCTTGCAAGACTGGGGATCCACCCTTACTTCCTGTAGCTTTCTGAGGATACTCCCAGCTTTCATTTCACAGTTGGTGATTGCTCAGACCCATGGGCAAATTTCCTGACCATTAAGGAACTCTAGCTCTTCTGGCTTAGCTGAAAAGGAAGGTGGCAGGCCATGGTGGAGGTAGCTGGGATAGAAACACACCCTGAGGGTGGCAGATAAGGAATTTGGGTGTATGAACTAAAAGAGATGATGATAGATAAGTTTTTTTTTACTTGTTCTTTTTAGTTATACATAACAGTCAAATGTATTTTGGGGTATTATACATACATGGGGCATAACTTATTCTAATTAGGATCCTATTCTTGTGGTTGCACATGATGCAAAGTTACCCTGGTTGTGATTTCAAATACAAGGCTAGGAAGGTTATGTCCCATTAATTCTACTGTCCTTCTTATTCCTCTCCTCCCTCCCTACTCTTCATTTCCCTTCATTTAATCCCATGGACTTCTAGATACATAAACTTTTATTACATCGTTATTATTATCAAGCATAATAATATAATTATCAAGCATTGCCTCATCCATTTCAACAGCCACTAAGACCCCATTTTGAAACTATAGGTCAGATAAGTTAATTCCCAGGTTTTGAACCCAGGTGGTTTAGCTTTAGATTCTTATAATATGTTTTTGGAATAAGTTTGTCATTTTGTTTGAGGAAAGGATAAGAATGGTTAATATCTATTGAGTATGTACTGAGTGCCAGACATCATTCTAAGCACCTTATCTTTTTCCACTCCTTATTTCTTAAATAATCCCATATAGTAAATTCTTTTATTAACCCTCTTACACAGTTAGGGATACTGAGACAAGAGAGGCTGGGTAAATTGTTTAAATTAAGTAAGTTACTCTTTTAATAGAATTACTATGTGGTAAAACCCATATTAGAATCCTCGCAGCTGTCCCCAGAATATTTAATATTAGTGAATATATTTTATTGCCTCTTAGAGGATGGTTACTCAGTACTGAAATGAAAATGGTGGTCTTGGGTGAACAGCAGAACTAGAGAGGGAACTATTGGGAAGAAGGAAGACCAAGGGGTCAAGGAGTGGATGTGCCCAGCTGAGGAATGGCAATATGGAAGGGGATGGCAGCCCCAGGGAACTTGCTTGGTGGAGGAGATGACAACCCCAGGGAACTTTGCCTGCAGGAGCAGAGCACAATTTGAAGTAAGCTGTGCTGCCACCAATGTGAATAACTCAACCACCCTCTCTGGAGTTTCATTTACATATCAAAACATCAAAGAAGTTGGAGTAATCAATTCTAAATTTCCTACCAGGCTCCCAGAGAGTTTGAGTAGTCAGTTTATCCAAATTTTATTAACATCATTTTCTAACAGCTACAGAAATCATGACTGTGGGACAAATAAGACCTCAAAATGCCCTCTGAATCCTGTCTGTCTGTTTAACTGGCTTAATGGAACTGTTTTTCAAAGTACTGTCATTTCTACAGACTATAGAGAATTATCTGTCTTGGTTGTATGGCCTTGAATTGTTTCTTTTTTCCTGTGTCTTAGTTTTGTAACATTGATAACAGCAATACGTCATAGCTTTTTAAAAATATTTTTTAATTGCCAATGGATTTTTTTCTTTGTTTATTAATAAGTGGTGCTGAGGATCATATCCAGGGTCTCACACATGCTAGATAAGCACTCTACCACTGAGCCATGTTTTGTAAGGACTAAGTACAATAATATTTCGGTTTTTAATATTCTCTGAAGATACATTATAGAATTTTCTACTCTTATGCCTACATCTAAACCTAAAACCCTATATTTTCTGTCTAGGCGCCATCACTCTCTAATACTTTTAAAATTCTGACACCAGCAATTGCCTTTCTTTTCAGGATGCCTTTTATTTGTACATCAAAAGAGGTTGTCGGTATTATTTTTCTAATCACTTAATCATTGTGATTTCTGTGTGTAATCTCTATATACAAGCCTGCCCTAAGAAGAGCTGCCCTGTGCCAAGGCACTAGGGAGATTCTAGAAATATTCACTAGGGAAAGTACATCTTTAAGAGCCTTTTGCCTGATATTCACGTACTCTGTTTCAGCAAAATTATGATTATATATATATATATATATATATAATTAATAATTATAACATAATGTATAACAAACATAATGTATATAAAGCATATTATACATATACCCAATATATAATATGTATTATATATTTTTTGTGGCAACGTTGGGAGATTTGAAATTATGCATGTTAGATCTAAAAACTGGTCAACAGAAAATAAAAAGCATACTAATAACACAGAAGTGCCATATAAACATTAATTGATGCTGTTTTAACTGACACTGAGAATCGTAGGGATCCAAATCAGGCGTCCTGAGAGGACAGTATGGGCTCCTGAGTTAGAATTACTAGACTGCAGGCCCATTGCTATATTCTTCACCTTAGGTGAATCACCCCTTCACTCCCTCATCTGTAAATTGAGGACAATGATAGTGCCAACTTCACAGGATTATGCTGGGATTATATAATTGAATATGTGTAAAGCCCCTTATCAGTAACATGTGCATATAGCAGTATGTGTTATATGTTATGGTTTGGATGTAAGGTAGCTCTCGAAAGCTCACATGTGAGTCAATGCAAGTAATTTGAGAGAAGAAATTTATGGGTTATGAGAGCCTTAACCCAATCAGTGAATTAGTCACCTGATTGGATTAATTGAGTGATGACTAAAGGTAGGTGGGATGTGGCTGGACAAAGTGGGGCATTGGGAGTGTGGCTTTGGGGTATATGTTTGTATCTGGCAAGTGGAGATCGATCTCTGTCTCTCTCTCTCTCTCTCTCTCTCTCTTTTTCTCTGCTTTCTGATCATCATGTGAGCTGCTTACCTCTCCAACATTCTTCTATCATGTTCTGCCTCACCTGGAGACTTGAGGAATAAAGCTGACTAGCTATGGATTGACACCTCTGGGGCTATGAGCCTCAAATAAACTTCATCCTCTATAGTTGTTCTGGTTGGGTCCATTTAGTCACAGCAGTGAAAAAACTGACTAAAACATATACATATGAAATATAGTCAAAAAGTTTACTCCTACCAACTCTTTGAAGTCTAGCTGATGACTGTTTCATGAAGTTGTTTTTTGTCCTAAATCACAGATTATTTCTTTTAATTCACTTGAAAATTCTGAAACAGTGGGAAATAAGTTGAAAAAAAAAAA